AGTTTGGGAATAAAAAAATTCAACAGTTAATCTACAGTAATTTTGCTTAAGGCTATGGAGGTGAAGAGCAGGGGACCTCTGAGTTAGTTGGAAGGGGGTGAGGTTAGTCACTGGGTAGAGTTGAAGGGTGAGGTAGTCCTACTACCTGAAGGGTGGGGTGCTGAGAGGTCACCATGTCCAGAGTCTTGGGGATGAGTGGGATCATGGCAAGGTGGCAAGATGACTAGAGCAGAGAGAGCAGAGGGGAGCATGACAAGACTGGACAGACTACAGAGCCAGGCCTAGTGGAGACCTGTTAGTCAGGTTGAGAATTTTGACTTTTAGCTCCAGAACTGTGTGATGGCATAGTTCACTTTTGTTTTTGTGATATTAGGGCTATTAGATTATAGTTAGAGCAGGAATAGCTTTGAAGGTGAGGCCAGGGCATTTTGAATATGAGGTACTTCCAAGATCAAGTGAATGGTTGATTGAGTTCAATGAGGATCCTTAGTGTTCTGAAAATCTGGGACACTGTGGTAGGCAGTGGGATTCCCAGAGTGGGAAAGGGCATTTGTAGCAAAGTCAATCTGTCTGTAATATTCAGAGTAGGTGGACTTACTGGGCATAAGAGGCTAAGAGGGTTTCTAAGTAGAGTCTGTTAGCATGAGTCAGGACATCAGTATGAAAGTCTGAGGTAGGCAGTGTGATTAGAGGCAGGGCTAGATGCTGTGTGCTGTTGCAGAGGTAAAATGGACAGGTCTTTCTTTGAAACTGGTTTGCTCTTGGGAAGAGGGAGGATTATGGTGAGGGAAACAAAACTAGATCCTTATCTTGAGTGATTCAGTGATATTATTAACAGACCTGGGGACCCAGGAGAGGCTGATTTTGAGATAAGTTAAATTTTGTGCATACTGAGTTTGATGTACTCTCAGAATATGTACATGGAACAATAAGCATTGGAGTCATCTACCTATGAGGGGTATTACCAGGGAAAGAGACTCGTCTAGTGTTGACATGGACAGTCCAGAGGATTAGAGAAGAACTGCTTATAATGGGGAACAGACACTCTTGATTCTTATTGTCTCAAATGGTATCACATGTAAGTGAAGGGCTTCCCTAGCTCCCTAGCTCTCCTTCGAGCTGGTTCTAGCTGATGTGAGTGTTTTTTCATGGGCAAATAATTACAACTGGTCCTGATGATACCATTATATTAAATGTTTTCTGGAATTTACATTTTTAAAAATGAAAGCAGGAGGAAGTTAAGTCTTAAGTCTTTAAAAAAAGATCTTTTACTTGATATTTTGGAGTGGAGAGTTAAATGTTGGTTTTGATTTAACTTATAAATTTATTTGTTATTAAACTAACAGATGTTAAATGAATACACTTCTGGTTTACAATAGCATCAAGTCATTTTTTCCAAAAAAATTTTTTTTAATTGTAGATGGACACAATACCTTTTTGAAAATTTATTTAGTTTTATGTGGTGCTGAGAATTGAACCCAGTGCCTCACACAATCCCAGCCCAAGTCATTTGTCTTTTAAATTTTTGATTTGTATATATCCTGTGTTATAATTTCAGTTATAGCTGTTTCTTTTTCTCTCTCTCTCTCTTTTTTTTTTGTGGCACTGCAGATTGACCTGGGGGGTTCTCTAACCCTGAGTTACATTCCCAACTTCCCACTTTATTTTTGAACTTTAAGACTGGCCTTGAACTTGTGATCCTTTGACCTCAGGCTCTGAGTAGCTGGGATTATAGGCATGTGCCAGATTTGGCAAGATATGTGAACCTATGGATTCAATAGTGTAGGTGAACTCCAAATAGTATAAATGCAAAGAAACAGATGCCAAGACACACTGGACTCCCACTTCTGAAAACTAATGACAAAAATAGTTTTGAAGTCAGTGAGAAAATACTGACACATTACTTACATGGACAAAATAATTCAAATGACAACAGATTTCTCACACAAAACTATGGTTGCTAGAAGGAAGTGGCACAGCCTTCTTCAAAAGCTGAAAGAAAAGAACATTGTTTAC